CCCTCAGCCCGACCTGTGCCCTCTCACAGTCTGGGACCCCTCGGGAGATAACCATCTGCTGGCTTAGGCCCGCTCCCTGGGTGGCAGATGGCAGGCCCTATCCGACGGTGCCTGCCCCGCCTCCCCGGGTTGCCCATGGCAGGCCCTATCCCACGGCGGGGCGGGTGGTGGATGTCGCTGCCCCACCCTGCCGTGCCGGGCGCCCCGGGTCACCCACGGCAGGCCTGATCCTGTGGGCAGTGTCGGGCGCTGCCGGCCCTGCCTTGCCAGGTCACAGATCCGAGGCCCGGATCCCGCGGGCAGCATCTCTCACTGCCCGCCCCACCTGCAGTATGCAAATTTAACAGCCATCTTTGTTGGGTTAATTTGCATACTCTTCTGATTGGCTACTGGGTGTAGCAAAGGTATGGTCAATTAGCATCTTTGTCTTTTATTAGTATAGCTTATTTTCCATATGAACAACTGTAAGCTTACTTTGTCCGACCATGTATATGTATAATGATCTAATATATTTTGTTCATTATAAAACATATATGAACATACAAATTTTAAATTCTTGATAAAGTTTAACCAAGCAATATTACAAAATATTTAATTGCAGTATTTGACAGAACAAAGTACTTCCTGCATGTGTTGGAAGAAGTTTCCTTATTTTGAAGGGGGAAGTCCCCATTTAATGTCCAAAGTTTATGAAAAGTCCACAGTTGATAAAACATAGTTTGAAGGTTGGGTCCATGTTACATTTATTTCAATATTTGGTTTTAATTGTGAATCTGTCTCATATCTGAAAAGGGCACAATATACACCAAGTTAGAGGTTCAAAAATGAATAGTAGTTATAGTAGGTGTTGATCTATATTCCAAATAGTCTCTAGGATAATTCCCCATTTTGAAAGTCTACTTCCTATCCGTTTTGCCAAAAGCTTATTCTAGGAGTAAGGAAAGTGTATAATGAGGAACCTCCTCCCTGACTTGGAAGAGGGCGAGGCAAATGCGGACGATGATTTTATTCCCTTTTTTCCATTAAAAAAAAAAAAAAAAGAATGACCACAACTTCTTCAAGAATCTGTGAGAACATGAAAGAGCTTAACACTCGTGGAAACTTCACCTTTATTCAGGCCAACTTAGAGCCCATCTGGGTGTGATTTTGTTTTGTTTTCAATTTCCTAGTTAACTGACCATATACCTAGACACCTATTTGCTGCCATCTAGTGTAATAAGTAGGTTCATTATGCATAGAATTCCGAACTCATTACATGGTTGAATGTCCGTACTCAAAATCATTCTTCACGTTGGTGTGTTATAAGTTTTGGAAGTGCCTAATCAGAGACCTGCTGTCCTTGCCACTGTGACCCTGCACATGATCGTAATGTTGTCATAGACTCTAGGGCTCAGGATCGAGCCTGGTTCACTCTATGAACATGACGCGTGGAAATTTGGTAGGGCCTTAGAGGTCGGTAGATCTGAAGTAAATACATAATAATCAGGAGGTCATCCAACTCTGGTGATGATTTCACTTTATGGAAGCAGAAGGACACATTGCCTGACTTCTTATCAGCTGTGTGGCAATTCACTTCTCTTTTTTGGACATAATTTTCTTCATCTGTAAAATGAAATGGTGACGAGCAAGACAGCTTCCAGAAAAAGAGTGTGTGATTGCATATAAACTATTTTCTCTTTGAAATTCCCAGGGCATGTTCCCAGAAACCTCTTTTATGTCTGAAATAAACATTGCTTCTCGGGCTCTACATGTTTATCCTCCTTATAGAAGAGTTGTAAAGATGAAATGAGAGGGCACACGGCAGAACTTAGCTCTGAGTGGTAGCTCAACCAGTGAGTTACAAAGAACGTTTGTGCATTCTTTAAGTAAAATGTTTTCACTTACCAACAGTAAAAATTCAATTTCAATGTAATTATGCAATATCTATAAACATAATCAGAGCATCTGTAATTGAGGTATTAAAGTGAGTGATCCATACCCATAGAAAAGAGGTTTATTTGCAATGTCAAGAGACATCTTGGTTGTCACACTGGGGGACAGAGGAGTGCTGCTGGCATCCAATGGGTGGAGGCCAAGAATGATGTTGAACATCTTACAAATACAGGCCCCTCAACAAAGAGCTGTCTGGCCAGAACATCAATAGCGCTGAGGTTAGAAATCTGCCTTAGAACCTTGGGAGGTCATTACTTCTGACCTAAATTTGTTTTGCACTTAAGACTGACTGGGTGCGAGGATAAAAAGGTAGCTTCCATTTTGGTGGATTAGAAGCTTTGCTAGTCCTAAGTACCTTTCTAAGTGACCCATTCCAGTGCTATAGACTCTCCTTGTGAGGCATGCCTGTAGGCCAGCCGTGGGCAAACTACGGCCCGCGGGCCGGATCCGGCCAGTTTGAAATGAATAAAACTAAAAAAAAAAAAGACCGTACCCTTTTATGTAATGATGTTTACTTTGAATTTATATTAGTTCACACAAACACTCCATCCATGCTTTTGTTCCGGCCCTCCGGTCCAGTTTAAGAACCCATTGTGGCCCTCGAGTCAAAAAGTTTGCCCACCCCTGCTGTAGGCTAAGACATTGCAATGTAGAAGGCCCTGTTAAATTTCAAACATTTCCATGGAGCACAACAGATGAAGTCAGGATCTACTAATCCATAAATATTGGTGAGCTTGTTCTGTGTAATGCCGGTGGTGGTAGTTCTTTTTTGAAAATCATGTGCCAGGCACTTTGTATAAATAATCTGATTTGATGTCCAGCAACTATGAGGTATTTTGTTCTCATTGTACACATGGGTAAACTGAGCCTAATACCCCCCAAAAAAAGGCTTAGAAATTTTATGTAATATTTCTATCAAGGCACACATCTGGTGTTCAGAGGTAAATCCAGCTTGCTCCCAAGCCTGTGCTCTTTCTACTATTCCATACTGCTCCTATCTACCAAGGGTCTAACATTGGAAAGAGGGCTATTCACAGGCAGCAAGTGAGGAGAGGCAATTTTAGAATATTAGGTGCTCTGCTCAGAAGGTTAGATTGGGTCTCCTGCTGAGTGTCCGGGAACTACATGAAAAAAACTGAGCTCTCTCTCGAGAGTGGACCACTGGAATGGAATCCTTGAGTTGGGGGTAAGCTCTATACTTTGGTATATAATCTTCCACTGATTTTTCAGTAAAGTGAAGTGTAGACCTACTAAAGCAATAAGGTTATATTTTAGGGAAAACATTTACGCTGTTTTCATTTTGAATTTAAATTAATTAAAATTGAATAAATTAAAAACTCAGTTCCTTGGTTGCACTAGCCCCCTTTCAAATGCTTAATAGACACAGGAGGTCATGGCTACCTTACTGGGCAGCACAGATAGAAATTCCTGCTCCTCAGACTGTGGTCACCAGAAACAGCATCAGCAGCATCTGGGAACTTATCAAAAGTGCAAATTCTCAGACCCTGCCTTTTAAATGTGCATTTTAAAAGATCCTCAAGTGATGCTCTACAGCACAGTGATGTTCAAGAAGCATCTCTCTAAAGCACACAGATCTCTCCGACAATGAGCTCCAGAAAGAGCAGATGAATGAAGAACTAGGAGGCCTTAGGAAATTTGCCGCAGGAGAGCTATGCCAAACACCACCAGGATGTGTTCCGTTGAGAAGGCAGCCATGGCTGTTCTATTGTGTGGACCAACACAGTGCCATCCTGGGGCTCGGGGTTGGCTCTGCTCCCGGGATCCGCAGGGGGGAATCTAACACTCACTTCCGTGACTCCCGCAACAAGGGCAGCTGCACTCTCACCGCCATATACACTTGGAACTGCAGCGTTGGGGCCTCTGAAACGCAGCTGTGAGCATATGTTACTGCTCCACACAAGTGGGATTTAGGCTGGCCCTTCCTGGGCACCCAGGAAGATCACCCTCAAGAGGGGCCATGCTGTCCACCACGCTGCCTCCCAAGAGCCAGCAGGACACCCCCGACGTCCTCATTATACGGGGTTTGGTCCAGCTCCCGCACCCCCCACCTCACTCCCGAGATTCGATGCCTGCTGCCTGACTTCGCTAATCCTTATTTGGTTTGTTTTTCACAGGACTCAGCATTTGACGGGCCTTTCAGTGTACTATTTGCTTAAGAATTCACTGTACTTCTCTAACAGAGAAGCTCATTGTTCTAATTCAGAGAACCTCAACCTTGGTTGTGCACCAGAGTTCCTTGGGGCATTTAAAACAGTACCCATGCCCAGGCATCACCCAACCTTTTTTTTTTTAATTCAATATATTGAGAGTCATGTTACTTTTTTAAAGATATAACTAACATATAACACTGTGTCAGGCATTGTCCAATCTAATTAAATTAGGTCTCTGGAAGGTAGTTGGTCCAAGAACCTCTGGGTGACTCTGAGGTGCAGCTGGAGCTGAGAATAACTGGTCCCGTAAGAAAGAGTCCTTAGCTGGCAGCTGGAGCCTTACGTCCATGCCTCTCAATCTCTAGTGTATGTGCGGATCGCCCAGGAACTTGTTAGAATGCACATCCTGGCTCAGGAGGCTATGAAGGTGAAGAAGCTGATGTGTCCAGGTGGCTTTTGGTCAGTGATCATCAGCATTTTCTA